CAGAAGCCGATGCCGACAATTTTACGTTTAGCGCACATCTCTATTCCGTACATTTGGGTCGAGTAGTTATAACTACAAACAACAACATTCTCAGTTACCTTGGTAATATAACCTGCCGTCACCCCGAGAACGTCGACAATTTATTTGTGGTGGGCAAGATAGAGGTTATTAGACCTCGCAGCATAACAACAACAAGTAACAGTCCGCTCTAGTCTTTAAGTTTCAACCGCCCCTTAGAGAAACCGAATGAAATGGAAATGGCTCGTACGTAATTCCACGAAGAACTTTCCGGTAAACGCGATCTTCTGCAATGAAGAACCGAACTAAGAATAAGAGAAGTTCGAATTCTTAGGTTTTCGCGATTGCTTCATATTGGAAGTGGAACTACTTTTTCTTGGTCCTAAATCGCATATGTTTTTTCAAACAACCAACTTTAGGGGGTCTGTAAAAGTGTTATGGTCACGGCTGACGCGAATCGATCCGGAAAAATAGCTTCATTTCCAAGAAGTTATAAACATTTGGTATGGAAAAGCTGAATAGAAATTTCGTTACGATTTCATACGAGTAAACATGGGAAACGTATGGGTATTTAGGGTTCGTAATGATTATACAAATAAAATGCAAGTTGAATTCACTAATGCGAACTGTATTTCCAAAAAGAACTTAAAATATTAAACCTGCCGTTACACGGCAGAAAGAAACAACAGTGTTGCCTGCCCAAAATAAAAATAGAACATTGCCGTATTCTTAATTTATAAATTCTACTAAATTATATTTATTTATATTTATATTTATTATAGCTATTTGTTTCAATATTTCATAAACAATGATAAGTAGAATTACCCCTTCGAAATTTCTCAAACCTTGCAGGGTGACCCTGTAACATTATAGATCCTGTAAACTAGAACAATATAGAAATATCCCATTGTTAAGTAAATATTATGTAGTAAATAGACTAGCCTAGAACCTAGTATATAGCCAGAAATATATATCTATTGATGTCCGTCCGTCTGTGTTATAGATGCTTTGTCGAAACCGAACCATTATCCCGATCGAATATTCACATTCGAGGCATCCGATTCTGACGAAGAACTACGATTACGCATACAGCAGGTGAGACGCTAGAATTTTAGATTATTTTGTTTTGTAGTGAGTTTTTATTATTATTTCTATTAAGTAGACTTTATTATGAATCCTTCTGTAGTTTCTTATTTATCAGTATCATTGAGGACTTCTGTACAGCATATAAAAAGAAAGGTCTTGAGACTAAACTTTAGCTACATGTTGCATAAATTTTGTTCTTGTAATATATGGTAACGCGATATACGTATAAGTTTCAATCGCATAGATGGTCCATGATTTAAATCGCAAAGATTGGCACAGCCGCTGCGGCCGTCACCCTGAGGCATAAATTCACAAGTCCCATGTGTCTGTAATTTCACCGGTACGCTTATCGTTCAAAACCGGAACGCAGTAATGCTCACGTTATTGTTTGTTTTTCACAAGGAGCTCTACTGCCTGTAAATTGCACAGTACACGCAATTTCAAAGTTAATGAAAAGTGCACTGTTTACTCTGCCATAGGCAAAGTTATACAAAACTGTCACTTTTTTAAACTCAAACTTTGAACACCATTAAATGATTTAGGCTCAATTTATGATGCTAGAGAATGGTCGCGCACTCTAGTTTGTACGTTCCACAATTGACCATAACGTTCATTACGCTGTGTACGTAACTGCCTCTGTGGCCGAACGATTACCATGCCGGTCTGCCACGCAGAGGTCCCAGGTTCGGTTCCCGGGCCGGGAGAAATAGTTGTATGGCCTACAATTTTTTCTCTCGTGACTTTGGGTGTAATTTGTGTTTGTCTGTGTGTGTGTCCATGGCACCCGCGACACAGGGTTTCCCTAGTGAGGGGCTATCTTGAGTGTGTGCGTTATTTATTTAATATCGTTACAAAAAGTCGCTTCCTTTCCGTTCCGCCGCAATATAAATTGAGCCTTATTGTACAATGTTGCATATCTTCCACGTGACTCGCTGCATTAAAATAATGAGTTCCTCCACCAAAATATTAGAGAAAATCGCGAAAACGAGCTGAATTTAAAAATACTCTGTATTTTCTATGACCCCAATGTACGGGACAATTAGGCTCAACTCACACTGGCGCAGAGTCGAAGCGTCGCGACGGGTCATGTTTTTCGCCTATACCATATTCATCTCTATTTTCCCATTATTAAGGTACAAATTTGTGTTATGCAAATGTGGAATAGCACGTCGACGTGCGACGACGAGCGCCTTCCCGCGTTGACCCTTGGTTAAAATCGAGCTGTTTCGCGTGTCACCGTGCGTTCTTTGCGCTTAGTGACGCCGACCACGCTGTGATCCGGGCGCGCTAATGCGAGCGTCGTCACGCGACGACGCGCGTCGTCACGCGTTGTAGTTGAAAAACAAGACGCGACGCTTCGACTCTGCGCCAGTGTGAGTTGAGCCTTAGTCTTCACGATGCGTCGTTTCAAACTGATCGAAAGGATGAATAGATTGTGTATGTTTATGTCGTTAACGATTAACTTGAACGCCAAGAGAGCAGACCGATTCGATTATCATGACGATAAATCGAAACATGGAGTCATTTGATGTATTAAAATACCATAAATTCAGAATATCATTAGCTTCGACTATTACGATTTCTACTTAGTCGAAGATATTTTACTAAATCAGGCTTATTGTAGAGCAACAAGGATAAAACTTAAAAAAACCCCATTTAGTTTCACTTTAGTTTCCAGAATTTTCCCAGTGCAGATACTTTTTTTCATATCGAGTTCTTACTTTTTTTCAGTTATTTAAGTACGTATTCTAATAAACTAAAAGAAATTTATATTCATATAGCATTGTTAATAGTGAAATTGAGCACCTAAATCTCTGCAGACGGGCCGTGATATCTTCAAGAATTCATACCAACAATATTAGCAATCCACCAAAAATGCCTTGCATTCATTACCGTGATAAATGACCGCACAACCTCGTCGACGTTGCAATCGACGATATTTTTTCGTACCTAACAATCTTAATGTAAGATTTCCCGATTATGTATAATAGAGCAGCCTAACAGATTACCAAGTTTTATTACGAGTAAACTGGAGCTCTGCCCTTCTTGTCATAACTGCCATGGAAAAAATTCAATTTTGAAAAATTCATATTTTTCAGTAAAATAAATATATTTTTTTAAATTTTCCAATATTTTTCCTATAATTTTTTAAGTGGATAATTGCTATACAAGTTTATTTTATTATTCACGCTAAATAAAACTTCAAAAGATATTTCTAAACGTAGAACATAATACGAACCTTCGAAATTATATTTTTCCTATTTTCCGGAAAAAATTCCACTATTTGAAATTTTTCGGAAAATTACTTAACAGTAGTCGTGACCAACGCGTTTGCATTTTGGTCACGAAAGTTAAACAAAACAGTTTTCAAACTAGAGTTGTCTTAGTCACTAGAGTAGAAAATTTTGAAGTATGTAAAAAATCATACTACTAAACTATTGATTTTAGCGGAACTAATGTTTATTTTAAATGGGTGATCTATCTAAAAAAAAAATTTCGACTACTGTAAATGTGCCACCCTGTACATAACGTTAGAATAACACTTATACAACAACGCAATACTCGTTTTAGCGTCTGAAATTTCTTTTTAAGGCTGAGCGTGACGTCGTCGCGGTTCTATGTAATTTCTTAGCTATTAATTAGATGGCGTTAGTGGCGCGAAATAATAGTTTTTTTAAGGATTTTCGCGAAATTACCAGCCAAAAGTAACACTTTGATAGTATACGCGATACGAGGAATTCATAACACATTTAAAATTAAAATAATTTTTTACGTATAATCTTACAATCATGCAATAATAGTCATTTTCCGCTCGATACATACATACAAAGGTGCGCTGTGGTCTAACGTTCTTTGTACAGTATGAAGACTGAAAATAAAATAAGACCGCGTTCCCACTATGTCGTGACGACAGATTGTCGTGCAGTTTACAGTGTCGTTACTTGTATATTTAAATGAAGTTGTCCACATATAGCACGACATGATTAACTGTCGTTCACGATTTTTTATCGTAACAACGGCAACCATAAAAACGTGACGACAGATTGTCCCAGCTCCTATTGTCGTCACGTTTTATTTATCGCTTTCTGCACATATTCTGCTCGCTGCCCTCCCCTCTCGTACCCCTCGCCCTCTGCTTGCTTTGCAGTAGCGTTGGGTCGTATCCAGAGATGGGCAAAGAGGCTGTCGTGAAACGTGATAAATTGTCGTCACGATCTAATGGGAACAGCTAGTCACGACAGTCATTTAACGATAAAAAATCGTCCACGACAGATAGTCGTAATATGGGAACAGGCTAGACACGACAGTCGTCCAACGATAATAGAACGTGACGACATAGTGGGAACGCGCCCTAACAATACAATACTTTTTAATTAAAAAATGGAAAGTTGCATTTATTTCTGTGAACGCCGTGATTTCTTAGAATGTTTTCGGCATTATTCTGTACATATTATTAAATTTGTACCCACAAACTTAGAAATATAAGGTATCTCAATCTATGGGTATCCTGGTGTAATATTACTACTGGTGCCATTATATTTATATGAATGGATGCAGGTTTTAAATTAAATGAGATTATATTATCTTCTAAAACAGAAATCGCCCTATGAACTTTTAGGTGATATGAAATCCTAATTTTGACTGAACTATTTTTGACCCGGGCATAGTCGGAACAATTTTTTTTTTTACCTCATATCACATTAACTTAACGCATCTTTTAAAAACTCTCTTTCATATACATTCGGTCTAGTACCTACTCACAAGCCTCAAATTTCAGGACAAAGAAGAAGTGGAATGCCACTACGAAGAGAAGAACGAGAATGTGCCAGCAAAACTCGAGGTCGAAATTGTGGAGACAGCGCTACGAGAGACTACCTTGAGAGAAACACGGATCGACGACGTGGTACCAAAACGCGCGGAGTATATTCACACGCTTGAAGCACAGAGCAGCGTTGATAGTGACGTCGTTGCACACAATGTAATGTACACTGTGTTATACAAATATAAATTCTAGCATAGTTGGAGTTTGTACAATAAATTATTAATGCGTGGTGCTAGTGTGGGATCACGCCTTTAAACCGCACGTGTTGTGAGCGACGCAAGCGGAAGTGTTCTCTACACTTACATAATATATATTTTTTGTCACGCTTGTCACCCGTGTTCGCCACTGTTTACAATTTTTCGTGACCTACATTTGCGCATAACACGCAACTCTTAGGGTCGTATTCCAGAACTCTACTCAATACTCAAGTCAGGACTTGAGTATTGCAGTGAGCACTGAAAATCATACTCAAGTCCTTGCCATTAGGGTCGTATTTCCAGTGCTTGAAATCATACTCCAAGTCTGCTCAAATCCTGACTTCAGCATTAAGTAGAGTCTGGAATACGACCCCAAGAGCGGTTGCAAACGCCAGATTGGGTGCAAACGCGATGCAGTCGCTAATCGTCTACCTTTACACATGCGCGGATTTTAAGCAGCGATTCAAACGCGCGACTGCATCGATACAAACGCGCGTTCGTGGATCGCTACACTTGGGATTTGTAGGCGATTGCATCGATGCCATCGCGCGTTTGTATCGATGCAGTCGCGCGTGTACATCAATGCTAAAAGTCGCCGCGTGTAACCATTCTTAAGTCACTTTTAGACTTTAGATTTCACAATTACAACGACCGCATGTCTCCCAATTCTGCAGGACACGTCCCTTCTTTGCGCGGACAATGGCAGTCCGCAGGAGCGTGGATCTGTGGAAATAACCGTACTATATGACGCTCCTGTGCGGAGTATGACTGTTCATGTTCTGCAGGCGAGATCGCTGCCGTTGAAAACCCCCGGTCAAATACTGCAGAGTCAGGTAAGGTTGCGAAACAATAATAGTTATTTGTTATGAAAGGCTGCAAAGTTGTTGTTTGACGCGAGCGCTTGTATTGAAACGTAAGCAAGCGAAGGAACCTTAAAAAATATAATCCTGAACGTAGCGAGGGTTTCAAGACACGAGACGCAAAACAACTTTACTGCCATGCGAAATACACAACTTTCCACCTCACTATAGCGAGGAAAATGGTATATGAAAGAAAAACAGTTGAACTGTAACAAATTAGTTTTATTCATTCATACATCAAAAATAATTTAAAAAACATAATTAGTTATCGTTGTCAATTCATATTCATATTCTCTATTTGCAAGTTACATGGTTATACATATAACAGGTGTTCTTATACTAGTGGTACTTGACATGTAACACCCCGTGGGCATTGCAACATTCTGAGAGCACTATGTCCTTACTTTTTTTTTTTTTTTATATATATATATAATAGACACACGATTGGCCACAATCTCACCTGATGTTAAGCGACGATGTGACCGACGATGGGACGCGTTTGCCTAAAAAATGCCTATTCACTCTAGCCTTGAATAGCCCCAAATTGTACTTTTCGGGAAATACAATGGCCGGTAGAGCATTCCATTCCTGTGCCGTACGCATCAGAAAGGAGGAAGCAAAGCGCTTAGTGCGAATAGGTGGAATATCAACGACATAAGAATGGAGTGCTCCGGACCTTCTAGTCGACCAAAGGAGGAACGGTGAGGGCGGAACCAAATTGAAAAGTTCCTGCGCACACTCCCCGAAATGTATCCGATAGAAAACCGAGAAGCAGGCTACTTTTCTGCGATGATCGAGATTTTGGAGCTTCGACTCCACAAGAGGATTATTGTTAATAAGTCTCTTTGCTTTACGCTCCACCGAGTCCAAGGCAGCTAACTGGTATTGGGCAGAGCCGTCCCAAAGGTGGCAGCAGTACTCCATACAGGATCGAACTTGTGCTTTATATAGATTTAAAAGCTGTTCAGGTGTGAAGTACCGCCTGACCTTGAAAAGTATGCCTAGTTTTCTGGCAGCAGTTTTTGCCAAGCACTCGATGTATCGCCCAAAGTTGAGGTTGGATGATAAGTCCAGACCAAGTAGCTCAAGGTGGTCCCTTATCGGCACGGATACACCTCGGAAAGTCGGAGTAAGGTGTAGGGGACTCCGTTTTGATGAGAAAAGACACGCCTGTGTTTTAGCCGCATTAAACCTGACCCTGTTAGCATCTCCCCAGTCGGAAGCAGCTTTCAGACTCAGGTTCAACCGGGTGACCATCGCCTCTCGCTTACACCGGATCTCTTCACTGTTGTCTCGGGCGTCTGGCACATAACTCACCGCCACTGTGCTGTCGTCTGCGTACCCAAAGATACCGGGCATCAGCAGCAGGTCGTTGATATGCAGCAAGAATAGAGTGGCGGAGAGGACAGATCCCTGAGGTACACCGGCATTTATACCATGAGGAGCAGACGAGTAACCATCTACAACTACACGGATTGACCTATCCTTCAGAAAATCGCCTATCCATGTGCAAAAGCCAACAGGAATTCCGTAAGCTGGAAGCTTGTTTAACAGGCTATCATGCCAAACCCTATCAAAGGCCTTTGATATGTCGAGAGACACAGCAAGCGATTCACCGCGTTCTTCACTAAAACATATACATTATTAAAATAAAATTAAGAATTATTAACAAAATTAAATCTAATGTCATGTATAATAAGAATAAAATATACCTACGGATTTATATTACATAAATAATGTACGACAAATCGCGTAGTTGAACTTGTCATTATTATTTTTTTCATCGAAAGAAAAAGTTACGTGCACCACAGTCTATCGTCAAGTTCGAGTTTCAAAAACCGTTTCCAACCTAACGTGGAAAAAACGCTTTTGCGCGCAGATTTGTAATGAAAAAGAACGCCTTTCCGAGCTAGTGAGGTGAAAAAGTAATTGAATGTTTTTCGACACAGATCACCCACCGATAATGTACTTTACTTCAATATTGCAGGTGCGAATAGTACTCCTACCTCTGAAAAAACAAAAGTTCAAATCGAAAATACGCAATGGAGAAAACCCACAGTACATGGAGAGTTTCGTGCTGCACAAGATAAATCCAGGTAACCTAGTAGTTAGTCACATTTGGTGAAAATAACTTTACGTTAACGCTTTGCCAAACATTCGTTATTTTGGCCGTCGAATGACAATTCGAGAGAGTTCAACAATGCTGTATATATTAATGAGATATTATTTTAGAAATGGTTAAAAAGCTCACATTCCTCCTTGCAATTCGCTTCACCTCGTTTGTATTTGGTCTGCGTACAATCTATAAATAGTTTTCTTTTGACGGTTGAATGACAGCTCTAAATTACGTAGTCCAATACTGTGCCCATAGATGGCGCCTCAAAATATGCTACTAGATATTTTTGTCTCAAACCATTTCGTGCGCTGCATCCGACTATAAAGATATGTAGTAAAAAAAAATTGATAATAAATACATGGTTACTACAGGGTGTGACAACATGATTCCTAAAAATTGTCACGACAAAAAAAAAACAAACTTAACTAGAAATTTTACAAGAAAACCACTGTATTCATTTTTCAAAATCTGAAATAAACCCAGTGTTACTGCCGCTCGAGCCAAGCAAATTGAACCATATTAGCACCGGAAAAAATTGAATTCGATCTGAGGTTTGTATCCACTCTTAATGTGTGCGAGTGAAACTGAAAACATTTCTCAGTCGCACTACACAATGTCGCTGCAACCGTGTACAGATTTACCAACACACTCTAATATATGGCGTGTGTGTAGGTATAAAAACAATTTTATTCACCTTATATAGAGGACGTGCACGGTCTGGGACTGCGTATCCGCATCTACGGATGCGAACGTATGCGGCGGCAAAGGTTGCTTGGCGAGGCGGCTGTACGATTCGCGTCGCTCAACCTCGAGCTCGAAAACGGCTTATGGCTTCAACTTGCACCACGGCAACATCACCAGCCTAGCTTACAGGTATGCACTACTACTACAAGAAATATATAGATAATTAGGATAAATTACATTGCCGCCGTAAGTTGAAATGTGTGACATTTTTTCAAAATAATTGTTATGTATACTTAACGTGACTATACGTCCCGCTTTTAAATTTCGTGATCCGCTCTCCCCAAAATACTTAACAATGTCCCGCTTTGACAAAACAAGACACAAGTGACATTAACATGAGTTTCAAAAAGGTAGGGTCTGAAAAACAGCTTAAGCTGAGACTCTATCCTTTTTATCTATACAGTATCTATAAGTGATGTTATTTACGACTAAATTGTTTTGTAAATATAGATAAATAAAGTTCTTTATTATTATTTATTATTATTCTTAACAAGCGAAAAATATATAATGCCAGCCCACTAGACTACACAAAATTAGTTTTTTTTTAATTTTTAAATATTTTTAAATCTTTTTAAAAATTGTTCAATCAATAAAAAACATTCCGCAACTATCATAAAATTTGTGTATTATTTTTAAAACAATAATATAATAAGTGACAGGGTGTCCCGCTCTGAAGAAAAAATAATGGTCACGTTATGTATTTTTTGTATAATATCAAGTGACGGGACGACTAAGTCGCCCCTGATGGTTAGCTACACGCCTGTCCATAACAGTTGCAGTGCCACTCAGCTCTTTAAATCGTAAAGACCCGAGGCGCACTGCCACTGCGCCCGTCACCCTGAGACATAAGTTGACAAAACCCGTGTGCCTGTAATTTCACCAGCACCCACACAGTAATGCTGACATTACTGCATAGCGGCAAAAATAGATAAGGTGGCAGAACTTACCTGGACGAACTCTTTCTCAAGGAGCTCTACTGCTACTAAAAAGAAAACAAAATGTATACTGCCGTGACCAATAAAAGCCGATCTGTCACTATTTTTATTTATTCATAAGAGGATAAGGTATGAAGTTACCGCAAGAGAAAAGTAAATATTTGCTTATTTCATTTCTTCAAATTTTTCAGTTCAGAGTTTATTTATTATTTTCTCGGTTCTGAGTTTTTGTTATCAACGCCCTTTCAACTATGGTCGGCACTGCAGAGCCTTGAACACCGCTGTAAAGTTGCCTGCTTATCAGTATTTTACAGGATATACCACGAAGAGCGTGCGAAGGAATTGCAGTATTTAATTCCGCCTTTCCATCATCCAGGGGGACTAGACGTAGGCTGGGGTACCCCTAAGTTGTGGATATTCCAAGAATTCGCAAGAAGCGTTTCGCTTCTCCATTTATATGGCTTAACGGCTATGGAGTGGAATTTCTTGCCTGCAGACTTATTCCTTAAACTTGGGCCTTTTCAAGGCGAGAGTGAATAGGCATTACCTAAGTGTGTGATGCGTAGTCCAACGTTGACCTCGTTGTCACCTTCCTATATGTTCCATTATGTGTGCGTACTAGTATTAAAAAAAAAAAGATGCGTATTATAGTCAATGACACAGAATTTGTATCTGGAAGGAAACGTTCATTAATAAAAGATACTATATTTTTTTAATTTTTCTTTTATAATACCAAATGGCGGGACGAATAAGTCGTGCGCCTGGGGGTTAAGCGACACTTTTATACATAACAATTGCAGTGCCATTCAGAGCTTTAAATCGCAAAGATCTTATGGACACTGCCACTGCGTTAGTCACCCTGAGACATAAGTTGATGTGCCTTTAATTTCACCAGCATCCTTAGGCTCAATTCGTATTGCGGCGGAATGGAATGGAAGCTAATTTTAGTAACATAGCATAACGAACTTTATGATCAATTGTGTAACGTACAAACTAGATACGAGCAAAAATCTTCCGCGAAATGCGCGAGGATTCCGCGGAAGATTTTGACTCGTTACTCGGAACGCAGTAATGCTCACATTACGGCTTGGCGGCAGAAATGGGTAAGGCGGCAGTACTTCCCTGGACGAACTCTTTCACAAGGAGCTCCACTGCTACTGACTCTGCATGCTATCGATATTACAAAACTTCGAGTTGTGAACTTTATTTGACTATGAAATAGGCGTTGCCGTGTCATCATATCACGGTGTCATAGCCGTGGAATAAACATAAATAAAACTTTACTACGTGTATTCAATTCGAAGCTTTTTCTAGAAGTAACAGGATTTTTATATTTTTTTACAATGCTCTTTTTTTTCTTCTTTCCATAAAGGAAAAGGCAAAGGTTTTACACCATACAGCCAAGTCTTGGTACATTATTTTTGAGCCATGTCTTCGTTTAATTGTTTCTGTAAATATGGCCGCCACAAAGAGGATAGGCAATTTGAGGCGGCGTGTTTGGATCGACTCGGGATTCCTTAGAACGGGCCGATACGGGTATTTTAGTTCGAGATTCGTATAATTTCGCGTTTTAATCTTCGATTGAGGCACAATAGCACTATCCTATTCCACTTTAAACTAGATTTCACAAAATAATTGAAAGTCAAAATAAAAACGACACTTTTCCCTCCAAAAGGCCCAGAGCGAATCCCTTACAATGTTCTATTTTTTTATACAATACTAAATACAAACGTACAAATTTATTCCGCCAATACTAACACAAATCATACAGCCTAGTCTACAGTATTGATATTCGGAAACGATCTTTCCAATGCTGCGATAAATCAAATTGATTTTTAAACCTGTACTACCACTGAGTTCAAAAAATGAGGAGGTACCCAATTCGGCTGTATTTTTTTTTTGTATGTATGTTACAAGATTACCCCCAGCATTTGTGAACCGGTTTTAATGATTCTTACTTTGTTGAAAAGAGGATACCTCGGTATTGGTCCCATTTAAATGTGAAGCAAATATTCCACCTCTAAGCTTGGCAAACTATGGTATGAACCCAGTTCGGCGCACCGATGGCAATAAAACTGGACAAATAAGTGTAATTCCAATAAAAAAGCCGATAAGCAAACTTTTGAGGTAGGTTTTTTTATAAAAAATGTTAATTATTGGTAATCTTTATTCCATTCCAGCTACCGAAACTAGAACTCACGCACTCAATAACGGGCCTGCTAGCCAGTCCGTCGTCTATAACTACGGTGGGTCTACCTGGGGTGGGCAGCATTGCAGGTGGGGAAGCGTGCAGCCTCGCTAGATCTGACTCTGCCTCTTCTTGCTGCAGCGCTAGATCCGCACCTGAGTTGTTGTTGGGACTACAGTATAATTCCACAACTGGACATCTCTCTGTTGAGGTAATTATACAAGATAGTGTATGTTGACAAGGCCCACGTGCCTCCAATTTCACCATTCCTACAAGCGTTAGGCATTCTGCCGAAGCATCCCGAAAGTTGCCAGCTCGGTACCCTTAAGCTTACCGCAGCTTTGTTTTTGCAGCTACGACCATTATAATTGAAATTGCAATTACAATATCATAATATATTTAACTGCCTCCGTGACCGAACGGTTACCGTGCTGGTCCTCACGTACACACAGGTCAGTTGTTGGCGCTATTTCAGCTTTCGAATTTTTTATTTCAGTGCAAACGAGAGTGATGAGTTGCCAGTGTCGGATGGCCCTTATTTTGTCTCTATTTCGGTTATATACTCGATGTTTGTATTACAAAATTAAGTAACGAAATGGACAAATTCGGGACACTGTAAACCATGGTCTATACGAGTATGCACTTTTCCAACTACGCTCTTCGACTTTATTTACAATGACTAAGTAATATTGACAGGTAATAAAAGGCACCCACTTCCGCAAGCTGTCTCCGACCAAAGCACCCGACACTTATGTGAAGCTGAGCCTGATCAGCTCGTTGGGCATGGAGATGGGTCGCTGCAAGTCCACCACGCGCCGCGCGCAATCCAACCCGCTTTACAAGGAGCTCTTTATCTTCCAGGTTTGCACTTACACCTCTATATCTCTCAGCCAATTCCTTACATTTTCACACTTGTCATTGTCTGGTTAAGCTCTCACGAATGGCGACGACCTCGGTGGCCTAACTGTTTGCATCACAGACCACATAGTGGTTTGCATAATCCAACCAGACTAAGGTAGAACCAGTTTCAACTAAATTAGGTGTAAATTCCGTTGCTTTGGTGCTCATAGTACAGGGTTTTAGGAGACCTGATAAATGGTGTGGTTCTCTGGCACATCGATACTTCCAATGAACACTATGCCAACTTAATTTTTTGACTTGTTCTGTTTTTATTTTGTTTTTTGTTTCTTTATTTTTTTTCACAAAATAAATTTTTTTTGGTATTGTTTTCGAATTTTGTTTATTTCTTTTTTTAACCGACTTCAAGAAAAGGAGGAGGTTCTCAACTGTAATTTTTTTTGTAAGTATGTTACCCGATTACTCTTGATTACTTGATTACGGCATTTGTGGACCGATTTTGATGAGTACCTAAAGTATGTAATTGTATTTAGAACATTGGGTGTTTAGCGTTTTTTTCTATCAGTTTTAGCTACACAATTTTATTTTTTATTTCACGATAAATAAAACTTCAAAAGATATTTCTAAAAAAAAAGGACTTAGCATGAGCTTCGAATGATACTTTTCCAAGTCTTATTTTTCAAATTCTTCAAAAATTATTCCGAAAAAATTTCCATTGATATTCTTCGGAGAAATTCCCAGCAGCTGTCCCAACTATATAATAAGCTGTCACATTGACCTACCGCCAAATTCATACAATCGTCAATTTGTCTAATAACCGCTGACGTTGACGAAATCGTCGCGCAAAACGATGGAGCCAACCCCTTCTATATAACTTGAACTTGAATCTGCAAAGCAGAAAAGTATGCCTAAAATGAAGAAAGAAGTTTTAAATAAGTTGAAAATATTAACAATTGTAATTAGGTAACATTACCGAAACGTATTGTTGTTTATATGACAAAATGTAAGCAACCAAAATCTCCCGACAATGTTTTGCGAAGGGAGAACCTTATCTCTATTTATGATATTTTATGATACTGTGTGTGTGTTACATTATTTGAAAAGATAAATAAATGTGAAAAGAATCCAAATTTAGGGCCCTGGTTCAGTTATATTACAATACCATCGAGCTGAGCTAATCTTGGATTCCAAAGTTGAGTAATACATAAAACTGTTTTGAACAATAAAACTATCGCTTACACTGTGTTTAGTTTCCTTAAAGCGTTTAATAGTCAAGAGAAGTAGAAGTCAACACACCGTGGCAGATGCTATACCAACTAAGCCACAGAACGAACCAGTGGACCTCACGAATTTTTCTATGTGCAACAATGTCGGATCTTTGTATTTGTTTTCAATTGATCTGTGTATAATTATTACTAACTAGTGGAGCAATTTCGCAAAAAAAAATGGAATATCAAGTCAATAATAAAATGATAACAGTTAATAGCGACGTCTCTAGCCAGGGCTGGTAGGTGTAAAGATATCTAACTGAATGACGAAATACTGTCATAGATTTCTCATAGATGGCGCTACGGCTAAAAAGTCGTTGAAAACCATATACAAAGATCCGACAACAAGCACATAGAAAAATTCGTGATGTCCGCTGGTTTGTTCCGTTCTTAGAACTCAACATATTCAACGCAGAACTAATCGAATCTGTGTTCCAGGTGGCTCTATTCCAACTAAGCGAGGTAACTCTGATGGTATCAGTGTGGTGGAGACGCAGCGTGAAACGCAACGAGATGGTTGGGTGGTTCTCGCTCGGCCAGTCGCCCTCAGGCAGGGAAGAAGAGCGCCATTGGCAAGAGCTCTGCGAACGCCAAGGGGAACAGGTACTAACATATTTATTTCATAGTGTTTGGTTAAAACAGTGTTGATGCAAGATGAAGTAATGAGTGAATGAGAGTGACTGCAGATTGGTATATGTATATATTTTTATATTTATATTTTCATATCATGTATAAGTACTATGTACTAAACACATAATTCCTCGAATAATTAATGATCTTCCTAAAGCACTAAAAGACGAGCTTAACCCCAAAAACATAAAGAATAAACTAAAACAATACCTCCCTAATCAAATAGAGTCATAATCATGTAAATTTCAAGTATAATTGTAATTTTATTATTATATACTACTTTTATTATTACATTACTATAAAGACTAACGTTTGAGAATAAGTATCCCAATCCTAACTTTTTTTACACTAGCTAACTATCTAACTTATAAACCGACTAATTTACTATTTTGAAAATAAAACACACCGTATAACATTAACGACAGAAAGAATGTCTTCATCACACACACTTCCACACAAAAAAATTAATCATGCTAGCGGCGAATGCGACCGGTCAGTCGGGTCGATGGGAGTGAAATATCTTCTTACCTAACCCATTTTTGTGTTTATAATTGGCAACATGATATGCAGCGGTGTACAGAAAAATCTGTAATAGGTTTATGCGACACCGTTTTATGTATTTTTAACTTATTATAAGCTATGTAAGTATGTTATAAATAAAAAAAATAAAAGATGTAATATCTATCGCTTATTTATTTCTAACGTTTCTAACACTTTCATACTTTGCTTGTAACGTCTTTTGTTTCTGTTATATACATATATCTAATTACATGTCATTACATAAATACCGTACACATATACACCCCACACCAATGATGTTATACGCCCCACACAAACACATCCTATACACAAGCACATCCCCTTATTTGAACAATACTTTCTTTTTCAGTTGTCATTATTGTAACGTATGGTTAACTATAATTAGTTATCTATTTGTGTATTTTATTTATATTTTGTAATTTTATATACAACTAGTGTACTATTGTTAATCTGAAGATAATATAAATATTAAAAAAAAGTGCTGCAATTACCATCAGAACCGCTGTCACCAAAACTTACACTATAATAAATTTAAACACTCTGAAATCTTGATAATGATAGTCGTAGTTCCAAATTTAAAAAGTAGTAACAAATTGTGGATTCTTAGTATATCTTAAACTTTACTTTTTTTTTTATTTACTTCATGTTGGCATATCGTTGAAAAATACCTATTATTGCAAATTACGATGTTTTGATTTATTATTAAAATTTCAATCAATGTGCCATCTAGCGGTCAATCGCTAAACGACGACAAACTTTTTACGCCTATGTGTAGCCTGGAAAATTCGTGACGTTTACCTCCAAAAAAGAAGCTACCATATTGCAGTGGTATAATGTTTACTTTTGTTTCTCATAACAAAAATGTGTTACGATAAACAGAAATGGAAAATGTATTAAAATTAAATAAAATAAAACTTAACGATGATGTGAAACACCACCGTGAATAATATTGTAGGTGCGACTATTATATTTTCTCTCTAAGTAGTAAAATAAAGCGTGACAAAATACGAGTTTCGATATTTTACACGAGGTAATTGACACGACCATAACGCACAGCTCAAATATGCGGAGCTCTGCATACTGTTGGCACGCGTACCACGCCCACCAAGCACTTCTATTGTATTACTTGTTCTGTGGTAGAGCTATATTTTCAGTTTATACTTATGTCAAATCTGTCTCTTTGCCATCAACCTAACATAAATGTTTTATTAATTATTATTATTGTCGTTTATCATTATATAATACACGACACTATCGATTGTTGTCAATCATACCGGTGTAATAACGCTCTAAATGTACACAGGTTCAACGCTGGCACGTTCTACAAGACTCCTGACGGTCACCAACTTAGCGCGAAGAGGATGCGCTGGTCTGAACTCCCGCGCCTTTGTCGCGCATGTGCTATGCTTGCACTGGCGGATATTACGCCGGCCTCGCGATGTGAGCGGAGACGCCGATCCAAAGTCACCAGTGGGGCTCGACTGCGTCAGCTCATGTCTTTTTCACTCTCCTTGCAAAGAGTTTATTTTGTATTGGTGGACAAGAATCTCATGGTTTGTAGGTATATTTCCAAGTACCTATAATGTCCTGTCGATAATATGCTGTACAGGAGAATTTAAGTCTTGATATTGATCTGACAGATAACTGTGATCGTGAACTGACATAACTCTGTCGTAGCACGTTCTTAATGCTATAGACCGACCAACTTATCTGTAATATAAGTGTGGCATAGCATTGGTGTAGTATAGCAACTAATAATAGTAACTAACAATTGAGAACAGATTATTTACTTACAATATTGTGGTAACAATTCTAAATAACTCAGCGTCAGAATGATGCTGAGTGCTAGAATACGATGATGGGTAGTTTAATTCTTAACATTGGCCAATAGATGGCGCAGCTAGCGTTGGTACTCTGTGGTCGTGAATTGACAATGACTAGGTTTCCTTGCAAAAATAATGGACTTTTTTGTTATTACTTTACGAAAATCAGTTATTTACATTACGATACGAGACCTTGAATTTTTAATTGAACCTTGTAAATAACTTTTTTCCCTCAAAATTGTAAATTGCGTGTATTAAAGTATTAAAGGACCATTTGGGATCAGATCACAAGCCAGCTGTTTATATGGTACTTCTCTGTCACTTTAAGTAAATGAAAATGTGGTTCGACATATTCCATGAGATTTTGTTTGTCCAGAAATTGCAATAATGGGAGCTAACATTGTAAAAATCTTTGGAAATGTTTTAATGATTTGTTGTATTTCTGAATGTTTGAGGAAGTTTTCAAGATTTTGGTGTTAGTTATTGTATGTGTTATTTTATAGCAAATTATTACTTACTTTCATATTGACTTAAATCACCCAAAAGGAATCGACGATTTTATTTTCTTTTCGAGTGCGATGTTTTCGGTGCGTTGTTTTCGGTGCGTGTAGCTTTTGTTTGCACCAACATCTTTAATTTGTGTAATACACACTCAAGCTTTGTGTGTATTCAGTATAGTTTGAACAAGGTGTAGGACTTTAATTATTTCCCAAGCATAAAAAAGAGATTCTATGTTCTTCATGAGATAGATGTATTGTATCATAAAGCTTATTTTAAATAATTAAATCGCTCTAAATTTTCTTGATCATTATGGATCAAGTAAATGTAAATAGGGATTGTGCTATAAGCGCCATCTAGAGGCGAAATTGCGATTCACCATGACGTGCATATAACTCTTGACAATTATAGACAAAAGTGGCGCCATCTCTGATCTGTCACGACAATGTTGCCACCATTTCGCACTGACTTGTTAAACACTGCGATTGGTATACTAGATTGTAAGGGCCGGTTCTAGGGCTTTTTTCTGATAAAACTTGTAATTTGTACCTTTGAAAGGGCACGCACATTTCTGACTGATTGGGAATTTCGATGTTAAAGATAAGGTTTTACGAAGATTTTTAAACTTCAAACTATTAATGAGATCAACAAAGGTTGCGGCAAATATCTTGATCGAAATATTATAATAAGTATGTTATACGCACTGGTCGAAAGTAAACGATGTTTTCAAACGGTAATGAGTATGATAAGTGGACAAGCACATACCTGTCACTTAAAAAAAAAACACTGGGTTCTTATGATTCCGTAGTGCCAGCAAGGATATTTATAAAGCATTTAAAGATTTATATAGTAAATATATAGATTGTTGTCGACATAGTTTATTACTTGTAGGTTTTGAAGCTTTTTATATTTTTTTGTTTACGTGTCCAAGAGGAGTTTAGGGTATCAAAAACGTGATCTCGATCACATGTAGTGCCTGAAATTTGCTGCAGCCTTTACTCTCTTGTTATTCTCGAAGAAATTATTGTAATGAACGTATCAGATGCGTATTTAGAAAGGAATTGCGTAATAGGAAATTTATTCCTGCAACTATAGTTGTTCTAAGGTGTTCTATTTGTCAGTACAGTAATATTAGTGGTCAAGTTCTTTGCCTTTATTTGGAAATTTGAACGTTTAGTAGGTACCTAAAGACTGACAGGTTAAAATTGACTCCTTGTCAGGTTGCGGATTTTCTAACAACCATATCTGCCTCCGTGGCCGAACGGTTACCATGCCGGACTGCCACGCAGAGGTCCCAGGTTCGATTCCCGGGCCGAGAGAAATAGTTGTATGGCCTACAATTATTTCTCTCGAGAGTTTGGGTGTAATTTGTGGTTGTCTATGTGTGTGTCCATGGCACCCGCGACACAGGGTTTCCCTAGTGCGGGGCTATGTTGAGTGTGTGCGTTATTTATTTATATCTGTCAGCAGAAAAATTAAGTCTATTTCAGAGTGCAACAATAACTTGTCAATCTTTAAACATGTATAATGTAATGAATATAAGGTCAAAAGTGGAACGCACAATACATGTGAGAAAATAGAATATGTAAATCTAGAAGTATATTTATCGGTATTTACATACAATGTTTAGATATTTACCAAATTTAATCCGCTAATTAGATTGTAATATTAGATTTTACATTTTTTTTTTATATATTAAACAAACCAACAATGATCTACTAACGTATTATTACACAAATTTGCTCTCAGAATAATTTTATTTTCAGGCTACAAAATAAAAACGGTACATGGTTAATAAATCTATTAATATAGGTATGTTAATAGTTTGTGAAACTGTTTATAAATAAATATTGAAAAACAACTGTTAACATAATTTAAATGATACCTTTTTTATTGAGTAACTCAATATTTCAACTCAACAAAAAAGGTACGCGTTAAAAACACCGTTAGGAATGTAACACTTTTTCAAATTGTATTAAATATTTCGTAACTCCATAGAAATAGGCTTCTTTAACCCATATATTACATACTACAATATACGTTAACGCATATATCAAGCAATACAAACTGACCTATTTAAACTACAAAGAGCGCTAAATGTAAACCAGTAAGGTACTATTTTCTATATTCTATGATTACCTAATTATTGATATACGGTTCTCATCTCCAAATACTCCAAATTATGACATATATGTTGAATATTATTGATATAAGTTGATGTTAAGAATGTCTAAGTACTATTTTCGTATACTTTAAGTATACAGTATTTATAATGTTATAGAAGTACTTTGCTTTATAGGCATTAAGCAATTAACTTAAAAAATAATAGAGTGAGATGAAGAATTTGTATTGTCCGGGTGGTGCGAGAATTATTATAAGGTAGCAAAATGTCCTTTCTTGACTAGCTATAGTGATTAGTCACACATAGTACAGACGTCGTCGAAATGATCTGAGTACTAGATTAGCAGTAAAATTTTGCAGAACAGGCTAAGGCTTCTCAGTCGTTCTGCCATATTCTCAAGAAATGATCTGAACGATCAAAGTTACTAAAACCAAATTGGGTAATTTTTTTCTATATGTTCAGTGCTCAAAATATCTCCTAATTTGACAAAAATAAACGAGTGTGAATATTTTGAAAAGTATTTTTCAGCTTCAATCATAAGTGCGTATTGGGATTCGGGCAATCGTTAAAATTAGTTTAATTAAGATGCATTGCATGTTAGGTTTAATTTTAGTTTAGTCTGTCTCACTGAGGACAATTCTGCCGTGTCCGGGTTGAAAGATACACGGTATATTTATCAAGATTAGCAGGAACACTTTAGCAGCTGTATCTGAGCACAATAAATTTTTTAAGTTGTCAAAATTTGACAGCTCTAAACTTTAATTAAACCTCATTACCGTTCTTGCTGATAACAATAGTAATAGACGAATTTAAATTAAGCTTTAGATAAAGACTATCGGTTACCTTCGGATTTCTAGAGCGCAGTTTACGTCTGATGACTCACAATTTGGCGCCAAAATATCACACAAGTCGACGTTCTACAAAAGAAAAAACACCCGATGATCTTTATCTAAAGCATAGGTTCCCAAAGTTTTTGGCTCACCGCACATTTAGGCAAATTAAAAAAAATTTCAACGCCCACCACCTCGAGAAATTATTGAAAACACGTATTTTTTATATTAACACAAAAAAGCAAAAGGAAAAATATTCCGACTGGGACTCTTCAACGCCCACTGGGAAGCGGTAGGGACTACTTTAGGAAACTATGGTCTAACGCTCGTAATAAATATGACCTGATACTGTACTTGCCAGAAATAATACCGTTAAGGGAGCTCGTAAACTGCAACAGAAATGGCTTTATGTAATAAGAACGAAAAAATCGTTTTGTAATTAAAATATTCAATTATTTTTTGTGAAATTACTCCTAGTGGAGTTTGTTATAATTATTAATCCTTCGATCCGGCTGGCTTCGAACCAGCGTCTTCTAGCAAACCGTGCTGGACTTTATGCCAACTAAGCCACGAAAGTACTCCTCTAGTTTGTTATAATTATTAATGCAAAGATACTTAGAAAATATTCCTTAATTCGTAAAAGTCGTTTTGTGTTTCGCGTCGGTGATCTGAGGGGAAACGAAACGATTGTTTCGCTCTTGTTGTTGTATAGACGTAAATGTTTTTCTCGCCGGTTTAAGCCGAAGACGCCTTGTAAAGAGTGGTGACACCTTAAGTGTGTACTTACTTGCTATTCTGAGCAAATTGCTAGTCTCCTATCACCCGGACTTTCAGCCGCATTTTTAAGTAGATTAATACCTATATTCTTACCATTGTGTAGTTATTTGTACCACTAGTCATTCTTTAAGCTGATGCTTTTTATACTTACTTAAAAGTGATTAAAATTGACCAATGTAAATAAAATAATCAAATAACAGACAATTACTTATTGGACACAATTTTTTTGTAAATATCTACATAATTTTAATAGCAACTCCTATTTAAAAACTGAATTCATAACACTATTTTGGGCTTGGCTGTAGTTGGGTAAAAATATTTACGCTCGGTTATTCATGTATAAAAATCCCACGACACTGGTGGACGGGTTCATAACCAGTTGACTTGTTTATCGATTTTTGCTAAACATTTTAATAATATTTAAGTTTAAGAGTCTATACAACCTCAGCCCGAATTCAATTTTTTCCCGTACTAATACGGTTCATTTTGCTTGGATCGAGCGGCAGGGAAGGTTTTCTTGTAAGATTTCGAGGTAAGTTAGTATTTTTTTTCTATCGTGAAAGTTTCTAGGAATCGTGTTCTCACGCCGCATAGTAATCGGTGTATATCCTCAATTATACTATATATTTTTTCCAAATTGATTGCTTCAGCAATTTCTCTGTTATGCGGAATCAACCAAAGTCATTTGAGGTAGTATAGACTTTTAAGGGATTTCGCCTTTCATTATTAAATATGAAAATAGCTATATACTAAAAACATACTACATAGGTAAACTCAACCCGTAAAGCCAAAATTTAAATTATTACCATTGACTTACAAATAAATGGACGACGGGTCTAATACAAAAACCACGAAAAAAATGTCCCAAGTCAACCTATTCGAAATTTAAATTGTAATGTCATCGCAGTATCGCGCTGTCAGTAGAACAAATGAAGACTAAAGCGGAGTGTCGCGCTCTGTATACGATTTTAGCGCCTTACAAGTGCGGACACTTTTTAGCGCGGACCCGACGTCAATATAATTGTAAGTCAATGATTATTACGTATTTATTTTG